TAAATAATAAGAATCTCCAACACAAAACACTATTAGCTGCTAGTTCTCGTAGGATTAGGATTCCAATATCCTTTGAGGGTTAAAATACACCTGAAAGAGAGAGAGCCAGGATGTGTGGGGGAAGGATATCTCTTGCTAGGATGTGAGGGAGAGGTTTCTGTTGCTAGGATGTGTGGGGAAGGATATCTCTTGCTAGGATGTGTGGGGAAGGATATCTCTTGCTAGGATGTGACAATACTCCCCCCACCCACACACACACACACTTCCGGTTCATTATTATTATTATATTAAACTCAGAAATAAACCCTGACCTAAAATAAATGTCTGGTCCGCTTTCAAACTTAGGTCAGCTTAGATCTCGCTCTTCTCAACCAGGTCAACCAGATAAACCAGGTCAACCAAAGACCATACTAATATTTAACCAGTGGAGACGCCTCGCCTCCCACACGCCAGCTCCTCCACACCAAAGCCAGGTTGATGACCAAACTCAGATACGTTCATGTTTAGGTGTAGGCAAATTACCCTGCGTTTAATCCAGGTATATGCAAATTAGCTGCGGTTAAGGTAAATATGCAGATTAGATGCGGTTTGATGCGGTTTCTAAGGTAAATATGTAAATTAGCTGCGATTTTTAAGGTAAATATGTAAATTAGATGCGGTTTGATGCGGTTTCTAAGGGAAATATGTAAATTAGCTGCGGTTTCTAAGGTAAATATGTAAATTAGCTGCGGTTTCTAAGGTAAATATGTAAATTAGCTGCGGTTTTCAAGGTAAATATGTAAATTAGATGTAAATTGCTTCTAAGAGTTAGATTTATGATAGAATGGCACAAAATTAACACTGACACTCTACCTTAACTCGATACCTTCACTTAACACCCGTTAGGAGACAAAATTAACACTCTACCTTAACTAGATACCTACACCTTATCACACACACCCATACTTAACAAAGCAAATCATTCCCTAAAGTTTCCTAGGTTAATTTGGTCTCCTAACTGGTGGTGCTAAGTTAAGGTATCTAGTTAAGGTAGAGTCTCAGTGTTAATCTAGTCTCCTAACTGGTGGTGCTAAGTGAAGGTATCTAGTTAAGGTAGAGTCTCAGTGTTAATTTGGTCTCCTAACTGGTGGTGCTAAGTGAAGGTATCTAGTTAAGGTAGAGTCTCAGTGTTAATTTAGTCTCCTAACTGGTGGTGCTAAGTTAAGGTATCTAGTTAAGGTAGAGTCTCAGTGTTAATTTGGTCTCCTAACTGGTGGTGCTAAGTGAAGGTATCTAGTTAAGGTAGAGTCTCAGTGTTAATTTGGTCTCCTAACTGGTGGTGCTAAGTGAAGGTATCTAGTTAAGGTAGAGTCTCAGTGTTAATTTGGTCTCCTAACTGGTGGTGCTAAGTTAAGGTATCTAGTTAAGGTAGAGTGTCAGTGTTAATTTGGTCTCCTAACTGGTGGTGCTAAGTTAAGGTATCTAGTTAAGGTAGAGTCTCAGTGTTAATTTGTCTCTACTGGTGCTAAGTAAGGTATCTAGTTAGGTAAGTCTCAGTGTTAATTTGTCTCCTAACTGGTGGTGCTAAGTTAAGGTATCTAGTTAAGGTAGAGTGTCAGTGTTAATTTGGTCTCCTAACTGGTGGTGCTAAGTGAAGGTATCTAGTTAAGGTAGAGTCTCAGTGTTAATTTGGTCTCCTAACTGGTGGTGCTAAGTGAAGGTATCTAGTTAAGGTAGAGTCTCAGTGTTAATTTTGTCTCCTAACTGGTGGTGCTAAGTGAAGGTATCTAGTTAAGGTAGAGTCTCAGTGTTCATTTTGTTTATTTATTTTTTTGTATTGTGTTTCACAGTTCAAAAAGGAATTAACTGTCTTTCTATGCTCTTTGATCTCCTCTCTTTCCCTCCACAGTCGCCGGGTAAGGTAGGAGGGGGGAGGGAAGGGGGAGGAGGGAGGGGGGGAAGGGGCGATCGCGTCCCTCATCTCACCCCCCTGACAGAATAATGTACATCAAAGCCTTCAGGGGGTGAGTGAACAGAAAGATTAAAGAAGGGAAGTGAAGAGGAAAGAGGGGAATGAGAGACGAGAGAAGAATGGAAGAGGAATAGATTGAGAGAAGGAGAACTAGAGAAGGTGAAAGGTGAGAGAGTGAGTACGCACACACACACACACGCACACAAGCGCACGCACGCACACGCACACACACACACACACACACGGCCCCTCTGGTCTTATAAACACAAAGGTAATTTAAGTCTTACCTGTGTGAGTTTAAAGGGAAGGGACAAGCTTAATTAGGTCACCTGAGCTGTGACCACCAACCATACACGTGGCAGAGTGGGGAGGTGCAGGTGGGGAGGTGCAGGAGAGGAGAGGCAGGTGAGGAGAGGCAGGTTGGGAGAGGCAGGTGGGGAGGAACACGCTGGGAGGTGCAGGTGGGGAGAGGCAGGTGGGGAGGAACACGCTGGGAGGTGCAGGTGGGGAGAGGCAGGTGGGGAGGAACAGGTGAGGAGGTACAGGTGGGGGAAAGGTTTAAAATAAAAGAAACTCTTTGATTGGTCAAAAACATTGTGACGTCATGAATTGTGTACATCTGATTGGTTAAACGCGATACTCCAGTGACATCATTACTACAAACACTTCTGACTGGTCAAGTGTTGGGGAAACAAATGACGTCATGAGTTATAAAAAACCCTGATTGGTCGACGACGGGAGATGAAAAAACACACAGCAACTGATTGGTCGACGCTCCCTCACCTGTTCATCTCCTTCACCACCCCTACCTCTCCCTACACCCCTACCAACCCCCACCACCCCCTACCTCTCCCTACACCCCTACCAACCCCCACCACCCCCTACCTCTCCCTACACCCCTACCAACCCCCAACCAGTCCAGCAAATCAATAATTCTCAATATCCTTTTAAATTAGGTCCGCTGCCAGTGTAATTATCAGCAGCTATCAGTCAGGTCACCTTGTTACCGTCTCCATGTTCGTTATAACCGGGGTGGAGAAGGGGAGGGGAAGGGGGAGAAAGGGGGAAGGGGAGAAAGGGAAAAGGAGGGGAGATAAAGGAGGGAAGAGGGAAATAAGCCCCCCTTATCCTCTATTGATTATCGCAATACGTAATGACCTGAAGGAAATAAGTAAATATTGACCTACTGTAGTTCGTAAGTCTCTTAATTAATCCTGAAGGTAATTTAGAAGGTATAATTAAGGGTTCAAAGGGGCCTAGTTTCTCTGTTAATCTTGTCGTCTTCTTTAATAGCAAACTAGGTCGTTTTGTAGTTTGTGTAACGGTAAATAATTAATTTTAGTGACGGTAAAGTTTTATTGGTGACGGTAATTTATTTTTTTATGACGGTAATTTTTTGGGGTGACGGTAAATAATTAACTGTGACGGTAAATTATTTTGAGACGGTAAATTATCTTTTTTACGGCAAATTATTTTTGGTGGCTAATAAAAAAAAATCGTCTAATGGAACTTTATATATATATATTTTGTTTGGCTAATAAGTTCACAATTAATTTTAACCAATTTTCACAACATAGGAACTTAAAAAAAAACTAATCACTGGCCATTAGTGTTAATAGTGATTTGTGATGCAGGTAATTACTGATTAATCCTGGAGGCAAAGGTAGACAAACAGTTAAGTTGTGGCCAGAAATAATAATAGACGATAAAAGGAGGAGGAGGAGGAGGAAGAAGAGGAGGAAGAAGAGGAGGAAGAAGAGGAGGAAGAGGGGTGGTGAACGAGGGAGAGAAGGATAGGTAAGTGGTCAAGCCTTTGTGAAGATAGTGACCCAACCAACACTCACTCTCTCTCTCCCTGGGGCTAATGTGAGAGGAGGGAGAGTGGGAAGTGAGAGGGAGAAGGATTATATGAAAAGGGGAGGGAAACTTTTGAGAGAGAGAGAAAGAGAGGCAAAATATAAAATACAGTACTCTCTCTCTCTCTCTCTACACACACACACCCACTCCCTTCCTCCCTATCACCAAAACCACCTCCCCATCACCTCCCTATCACCACCAACACATCCCTATCACCAACAACACATCCCTACCACCAACAACACAGCCCTATCACCAACACACCCCTACCACCAACACACCCCTATCACCAACACAGCCCTATCACCAACACACCCCTCCCACCAACACACCCCTCCCAACAACACACCCCTCCCACCAACACACCCCTCCCACCAACACACCCCTCCCAACAACACACCCCTCCCACCAACACACCCCTCCCACCAACACATCCTACCACCAACACACCCTCCCACCAACACACACCCCTACCAACAACAACAACACATCCCTACCACCAACACACCCCCCACAACACATCCCTAACACCAAAAAAAAAAAAGGAAGAAGAGGAGGAAGAAGAGGAGGAAGAAGAGGAGGAAGAGGGGTGGTGAACGAGGGAGAGAAGGATAGGTAAGTGGTCAAGCCTTTGTGAAGATAGTGACCCAACCAACACTCACTCTCTCTCTCCCTGGGGCTAATGTGAGAGGAGGGAGAGTGGGAAGTGAGAGGGAGAAGGATTATATGAAAAGGGGAGGGAAACTTTTGAGAGAGAGAGAAAGAGAGGCAAAATATAAAATACAGTACTCTCTCTCTCTCTCTCTACACACACACACCCACTCCCTTCCTCCCTATCACCAAAACCACCTCCCCATCACCTCCCTATCACCACCAACACATCCCTATCACCAACAACACATCCCTACCACCAACAACACAGCCCTATCACCAACACACCCCTACCACCAACACACCCCTATCACCAACACAGCCCTATCACCAACACACCCCTCCCACCAACACACCCCTCCCAACAACACACCCCTCCCACCAACACACCCCTCCCACCAACACACCCCTCCCAACAACACACCCCTCCCACCAACACACCCCTCCCACCAACACACCCCTCCCACCCAACACACCTACCAACAACACATCCCTAACACCAAAAAAAAAAAACCAACAGTCAAGACAGTGCTTTACTCACCTCTTTATCGGGGTCCTTGAGCGATATCTCCACACGGTAAGATAACTCGTCTTCCCGGCTAACTCTCACCCCTGTGGCCTGCTCGATCTCACACAAGGCTTCCGGCTGTAAACACAACACTCGGTTAACTTGATGACGACTGCACCCTGGTATATTAAGCTTAGTGATATACGAAGCTTAATGATATATGAAGCTTAATGTAATGATATTAATAACTGTTCATGGTAATACATATAAATACATATATAAAGCTTAGTGCACAGTAATATATGGAATAAATATACATGATAATAAATAATGAAAGCTTAATGCATAGTACTACATGTAATAAGCTGTTAAATTAATAAGCATATGACAAACACAATGACAAGAGTATTAAGCTTGTCTATATTCGCAACATGTCAGAAAAAATTAATAAAATGCATAATACGTACAATAAGCTTATTCATTAATGTATTACTTGTCATACATGTCATATAATAAGCTTGACATTATTAACAGAAGGTTATTCATACGCGGCATCAGCTACAAACAATAATATATGTATAAATGTATAGTAATGTTCATGGTACTTTTCAGAACATAAATAACCAGATTCGTTAAGTCTCCCCTGAAAGAGTTCGAGAGAGGATCGTTTTCTTTTATACGTTTTCTTCAATTAAACCTGCGGTGACTATACTAAGCTGGTAATAAGCTCTTTTTCCCCTTCTAGTACTACCTTTCTCTCCGCAATATCTATCTCCTTCACCCCATCTCCATAATATCTACCATCCCCACCCCCCACCCCTCCTCCCCATCACTAGTCACCCTGGGGAGCCATATTATCACAAGTTCTCCCCAGGGGGTAATCGTGCCTCAGGGAGTCTTTATAAAATCGTCCGCTTCTTCAATAAGGACTCGGCCATCTTTCTCCCCACTTCCATTAACCTTATCCACACTACCCACACTATCCACACTTATAACTGCTCCATCCACACACATAATATTCAATCCACATATAACTTTACCCACATGAGAGAGAGAGAGAGAGAGAGAGAGAGAGAGAGAGAGAGAGAGTATCCCCTCTTTGGTAAATTTCAAGGGGGTGAGGCTCCACACCAAGGCCTTATAATGTTAGGAAATATACTACGAACGAGTCCCGTTATATATCACTGAATGTATATAGTCTAATCTAACCAAATCAAGGTTTATCTAATCCCAATGTTACAAACCAAGGGTCTTTTTGGTTAGGTCATGTTGCCTCATTAAAACCAAACACGATTTAGCTCCCATAATATCAAAGTTATCGAAGAAAGAAAACGAGAATCTAGAGAAAATGGTCCTGGTTCTATCAATCACGGGGGGGACTTGAATATTCTGTGTTGACACGAGAGAGAGCATGAAAAATTAAACGTATGTGAAATAAATTAAACTTTGCGAGTGTTTTTTACGATTTTGTGTGAAATAATATGACACAACGGACGAAGAATTTTGACAACCCTACCGAGACAACAGGAGTCACAGTGTTCATTTTGAAATTCATCGATCACCTTTGTATGGTTATTTTTTGAATTGAGAGTAAGATAAAAACCCTTAAATACACAATCCAAGTACCTGTTCCTACTACCAGGCAACAGGTAAGCGGAAGAATAATCACCTGGGGTGTGTACCTGTACCTAAGGTATCGGCCAATACAATAAATGTACCCCCTCCTACTTCAGCGCCTCCCCCAGGTGGTTCCTACCTCCTGGGGACACACGCTGCTCCTCCACCATCCACTGATCACAACTACAGTTTTTTACTTTACGGAAATAACTTCCTCGAAACCAATAATAATAATAATTTTGTAAAGGGTTTCGGTAATCGACATTTTTCCTGTTGCATAGAAACGTTTTGTTTATTTACCAAGTTATAATTTTTCCGATTGAATTTGGACATTTGTATAAAAAAAACTAATTCTTGAAACACTTATTAAAATTGCATTGGACAAAAACATAAATTTGAGCCTTTGTGAAGATGAATCAGCTTAAGTAACCAAATTAAACCTTTTCAGGATAATCAACTGAAACTCCATTAAGTTTATTGGTAAAAGTGTAAATTTCAGCACACACGATCTTCACCACGAGAGCTGAGCTGTAGATGTAATGTTTTGAACGACTAAAAAGGTCAAATATCTCTTCTCTCTCTCATTATTACCAAGGTCAGGCACTCCAACACTTTTAAACACTTTCACGACTAAGTTATGATATTACGAACATTTATAGCCATTTTTTTTTATTACACGTCAACCTGATGCACTCTGAAAGCTTCGGAAACTCTTGACCAGAACTTTTTTTTATTTTCTATTTATTTACACCTCAGCCTTATAGGAGAGTAATATCTGAGAATTTATCTACTAACAAGATCAAAATATTCCTCAATGTCTATCAATCCATCAGTAAAAACATCCTTGTCTGTCTGTCTATCGTGGTAAACAAAGCGTAATATTCGAATCCCATATATTTAAGTTACTCCTAAAACTCCATTTTCTCTTATACTTGAGAGAATTTGAGGACAGACTCTTATAAACGCACACACATAGGGGATTAATTCCTTCCTCCTGCTATTCCTCTTCCTCTTCCCTTCTCTCTCCTTCTCTTCCCCTTCCTCCACACTCCCTCCTACCCCGCCCTACTCTTCCCCCTAATCACATCCCAGTGGGGTAACTCCGCCACATAACGCTTAATGGCGCAACCAATTTCTTGCCACCCAATTTGCCGAGGCTGCCATAAAGGTGGGTGGGTGGGTGGATACGGAGTGGGTTGGGTAGGGTGGGTTTGGTAGGGTGGGTTGAGTGGGTGGAGTGGGTTGGGTGGGGTGGGTTGAGTGGGTGGGGTGGGTTGATTGAGTGGGGTGGGTTGAGTGGGTGGAGGTGAGGGAGGTTTAGGTCCCACCCACCAATAAAGCCCTCATGTGTGACCCACCAATGACCAGCTAATGGTAGGCGGGTCAAAGGTCAGCCTGGGTCACTGTAGGTCATTCAGGTCCTCATTCGAGAGCTGGTATGTTATCACCTAATGTCCACGAGGTTACCAGGTGTGAACCCTAAGACCTCCAGGTTAATTAGGGTATTGTACAGAGATATGGTAAATAAAAGTGACCCATGACCCACTTGTACTACCACCACTACTACCACCTGTACCATCTACATCATCACTACAACTATCTACACCACCTCCATCACCACCACTACTACCACCACTCACTCACCACTACCACCACCACCCTCACTCACCACTCACTCACTACTACCACCACCACAAGCAGAACAAGACACCTCTCCTTCCCTCTCTCCCTCCCACTCATCCATCCATCAACACTCATCATAACAGTCTCTCACAAGTGTGTTAAAACTCCTCCCAGGTAACACATACGCCAGGTGAGACAAACACTACCTACCTGCCTAATTATAGCTTCGCCTTGTATTATAGACCTAATCTTCAAATTCTATTATTTACAACCTCATTAATTATAGACTGTCAATTTTACACAACCCGGAGATAATTATTATTGTATTTAACTTCGTCTCAGAACCGTATGACATAGTGACGGTGTTTATAAGTCTTGGGTTATGTAGTATGGCAGCTGGTCAGTACTGGCGGGCGTATCATATGATTTCAACTCCTCTTAAACGCAAATCATTATCACTGGTACTTCGCTTTGAACTACTCTTAGGGTGGGGGGGAGAGGTTACAGTTGAGGGGATACAAAGGACAGACAGACATGATACTGATTCTCGCCTCCCCAGCCTCCGCCACGCCCCCAGCCCCCGCCACGCCCCCAGCCTCCATCACGCCCCCTAGCTACGAGAGAAACATCCCTCATCAGGATTTGTATGACCTCACTTCCCCTTCTCTCCCTCCTACCTTAATATACTCAGCCCTCACCCCTCCCTCCCTCGAATGATGGTGGCAGGATGGGGCGGTCCCGTCTACTTGGTCATACAACTCGCCAGGCCAAGGGGCGTCACTCTCCCTTCGTCAGCCGCCACAACACGGATCATGTTTTAGTACACAAGTATTTCCTGCCGTCAAGACCTGAGGGGGAGTGAAGGGGTGGTGTGTGTGCGTGTGTCAGTGTGTCTCTTTTTAACACTGTGTCAGGTTGTAGGCAGAGCTCTCTCTCTCTCTCTCTCTCTCTCTCTCTCTCTCTCTCTCTACCTTAAATTTAGCACCAGAGTGAGTGAGTGAGAGGAGAGGTTCGCCCTACAGGTATGTACACACAACCTCCTGGCAGACGAAGGCATATTAGAGACAAGATGGATGGTTCCGGCACGCACGCACGCACGCACGCACGCACGCACGCACGCACACACACACACACACACACACACACACACACACACACACACACACACACACACACACACACACACACACACGCACACGCACACACACACACACACACGACAACGGGGAATTTACGATGTTTTAACGTGAGTGTGACTTAGGACTCTGGCGGGGAATAATCCCTAACACTGGCGGGGAGCACACAGCAGGGGTGAAGGAGGTTGTGGCCTCTCGGGGAATATTTAGGAAGAGACGGAAATGAACCAGAGGAAAGGGGGGAGGAGGAGGGGAGGAGGAGGGGAGAGGAGGAGGGGAAGAGGAGGGAGGGGAGAGACCTGATTAAACAAGAGTTGAAGAGGTCATTTGAAGGGTTAAGAAAGGGTACAATGTGTGTGTGTTCCATCTGTCCCCCCGTGACACACCCCCGGCACATCCCCACACACCCCTGGCACACCCCGGCACATCCCCACACACCCCCTGACACACCCCCACACACGCCCCGGGTCAGAGAGACAATAGCACCGAGTCCGATTACTACCTGAAAACTTTCTGTAATTATACCAACTTTAGAAGACTTCTGGGTGCGACAGTGTAGGATGGGAGTACGACCTATCGCCACCCCTGCCACCACCATCTGCCACCCACCATCACCCCTGCCACCCACCATCACCCCTGCCACCCACCATCACCCTGCCACCCACCATCACCCCTGCCACCCACCATCACCCCCACACCCACCATCACCCCTGCCACCCACCATCTGCCACCTACCATCACCCCTGCCACCCACCATCACCCCTGCCACCCACCATCTGCCACCCACCATCACCCCTGCACCCACCATCACCCCTGCCACCCCACCATCACCCCTGCCACCCACCATCTGCCACCCACCATCACCACTGCCACCCACCATCACCCCTGCCACCCACCATCTACCACCCACCATCACCCCTGCCACCCACGTTCTGCCACCCACCATCACCCCTGCCACCCACCATCTGCCACCCACCATCACCCCTGCCACCCACCATCTGCCACCCACCATCACCCCTGCCACCCACCATCACCCTCACCCACCATCTGTCACCCACCATCACCCCTGCACCCACCATCTGCCACCCACCATCGCCCCTGCCACCCACCATCACCCCTGCCACCCACCATCACCCCTGCCACCCACGTTCTGCCACCCACCATCACCCCTGCCACCCACCATCTGCCACCCACCATCACCCCTGCCACCACCAACTGCCACCACCATCACCCTGACCCACCATCACCCCGCCACCACCATCGCCCCTGCCACCCACATCTCTCCTGGCGCCTCACATCTAACGATCATGAAGTGGCACTCAAATTCAAACATTAACGGCCACTAACGGTTATTAACGGTTACAGATGGCACCAACGGTCTTTTAACGGTTTTCACCCACTATTTGAAATGGTATACCGGTATGCTTGGTATATTAAGGTATGCTTGGTATATATTGCATAAGTAATCTATGGATAAAAATACTATGCTTTAATGAAGAAAAACTCAGGATTACTTAAGTTACACCGATTAATTAAAGGATACCTGGATTAATTAAAGGATACCTGGATTAATTAACGAATACCTGGATTAATTAACGGATATATACCTGGATTAAGGGACATATACCTGGATTAAGGAATATAAACTTAGATTAAGAGATATATATACCTGGATTAATTAACGGATACCTGGATTAATTAACGGATACCTGGATTAATTAAGGAACTACACACTTGGATTATATAAGGGGAATCAGAGCAAATATTCTTATAAAAATCTATATGATATATTCTATTGCCACTTATATATTACTTAAATCATGCCTGGCACTTTAGGGTTACTTAAATCATGCCTGGCACTTTAGGGTTACTTAAATCATGCCTGGCACTTTAGGGTTACTTAAATCATGCCTGGCACTTTAGGGTTACTTAAATCATGCCTGGCACTTTAGGTTTACTTAAATCATGCCTGGCACTTTAGGGTTACTTAAATCATGCCTGGCACTTTAGGGTTACTTAAATCATGCCTGGCACTTTAGGGTTACTTAAATCATGCCTGGCACTTTAGGGTTACTTAAATCATGCCTGGCACTTTAGGGTTACTTAAAGACACTTGCCTGATGCACTACAAAATTCTTAAGCCAGAAAGCCAAAAAAATTACTTAAAATTACTTAAAAAATAAATAACTCAAGCTGATATTTCCTCACTACATATTATTTAAAAGCTTATTATTTAAAAGCTTATATCTTAAAAGCTCATTATGGTTGAAAGTCTCGGTGCAAAGCTTACTATAGTGTTTGGTTAATGGTGAAAGCGTTTAATTAGATCACCTGAAGATTAGCACCCCTTAGTTTATTTCACCTGATGATCAAACACCTTAATGTTACCTGGGGAGGGGATGGGGTTAGGTCAGGTGAGGTCAGGTCAAATTAGGGTACGTTAGGTTACATTCGGTCAGGTGAGGTCAGGTCAGATTAGGGTACATTAGGTTAGGTTACATTCGGTCAGGTGAGGTCAGGTCAGGGTACATTAGGTTAGGTTACATTCAGTAAGGTCAGGTCAGGTCAGGTCAGGTCAGATTAGGGTACATTAGGTTAGGTTACATTCGGTAAGGTCAGGTCAGATTAGGGTACATTAGGTTAGGTCAGGTGAGGTCAGGTCAGATTAGGGTACATTAGGTTAGGTCAGGTGAGGTCAGGTCAGATTAGGGTACATTAGGTTAGGTTACATTCGGTAAGGTCAGGTCAGATTAGGGTACAATATTTTAGGTTACAATCGGTAAGGTCAGGTCAGATTAGGGTACATTAGGTCAGGTCAGGTTAGGTTAATCTGAAGGTGAAACAAACTGTGGGGGTTAATCTTCGGTTCATCTAAATATGCACATAATTTAATAAAGAAGATTAAGATATATATATAAACTCACATACCAACACTGATTTGCCATAGAGGTGTGTTGAGAAGACCTGGAGGATGGGGCGAGAGATTAATGATAACGGAGATAACAGGGGTGAGAGATAACAGATGAGAGATAACAGGTGAGAGATGAGAGATAACAGGGGTGAGAGATGAGAGATAACAGGGGTGAGAGATGAGAAATAACAGGTGAGAGATGAGAGATAACAGGGGTGAGAGATAACAGGGGTGAGAGATGAGATGAGAGATAACAGGGGTGAGAGATGAGAGATAACAGGGGTGAGAGATGACAGGGATGAGAGATGAGAGATAACAGAGATAACAGGGGTGAGAGACAACAGGGGTGAGAGATAACAGGTGAGAGATAACAGATGAGAGACAACAGATGAGAGATAACATTTGATATAACACAACAACACAGAAGGCAAAACAATAACCAATAAACGTCGACACGAAAGAAAAGACGATAATGAGAATAATTAAGAATATTGAAAATAATAAAAACGAACGATAAATAAGATGATGTTAATAAGAGACGATAATAAATAAAACGTTTAAAATAATAATAAAAATAAATGAAAAATTACGAAAGAGACGAAATTTATTATTATTATTATTATTACGTGAAACTTCAATAACTTTCTAAATATCTCAATTTCTTTCGCACCGATTCGACCCTTACCTGTAGGGCTGACGTCAGAGGCCTAGAGCCCATCCAATCACCGTGTAGGGAGGAAAGTTGCCAGAGATCAGGTGTACACTAATTACCAATCAAGGCTGCAGTTTCACCTAATCAATACTAGCGAATTCTCCTCCCTTTTGGCCCACCACACCCCCTCTCTCCTGCCCCCCTTCCCCCTTTTCTCTCACCTCCCCTCTCTCACTGCTCCCCCCACACCTCCTACCGGCCTACAGTGTGACAGTAGAGTTGTATATTAAGCGAGTGTGTTCTTTCCGGGTTAGGTGAGGGCCGGGTTAGTGAGGGCCTGGTTAGGTGAGGGCCGGGTTAGGTGAGGGCCGGGTTAGGTGTGGTGTGTTAGCTCCCAAGTGTAATGAACAACTCGTAAATATTTATAATGACTCACTAAACTGTTACATACTCGGCAACACTTGGCAACACTTAGCAACACTCGGCAACACTCGGCAACACTTAGCAACACTCAGCAACACTCGGCAACACTTAGCAACACTGGGCAACACTCACTCAGCAACACTCGGCAACACTTAGCAACACTCGGCAACAGGGACGATATCTAGGTGTTGCATGCACGAGTCTCCCTCACTACTGCCTCACCTGACGCAACACTTCACATTCTCTCACAACACCGGGTACACCATCCACCACCTCACCTCAGTTCACCTCACATGACGCCACTTCACTTCAGAGGACTTCAGTTCACTTCACATGACGCCACTTCACTTCACAGGACGTCACTTCACTTCACAGGACGTCACTTCACTTCACAGGATGTCACTTCACAGGATGTCACTTCACAGGACGTCACTTCACTTCACAGGACGTCACTTCACTTCACAGGACGTCACTTCACCTCACCTCTCTAACACATCAACAGACAGACAACCAGTACATCCCCTTCAATGGTCCTCTACAAGTGGCTCCTTCGTGGCACTCAAGATCTGTGGCTCCTTCGTGGCACTCAAGATCTGTGGCTCCTTCGTGGCACTCAAGTTCAGTGGCTCCTTCGTGGCACTCAAGATCTGTGGCTCCTGAGTCTTAACCTGACGAAGGTATTGGTGAGAGTGAGGTTGAGATTATGACCTTCAACAACCAGCAGGAGGAGGAGGACTATTGGGGCGAGCTGGCACACGTGGGCTGCTGGGCTGGCACTGTGGCACTCCTCCCTCACACACCACACTACTCATCCCAGCCACACACCGCCACACCTCACGCATCACCACACCTCACACGCCACACTCAGGACGCTCGCCAACACGCACGCGACACAGAGAGAGAGAGAGAGAGAGAGAGAGAGAGAGAGAGAGAGAGAGAGAGAGAGAGATCTGAGAAATGGTCTAGTTTACTCATGTAGGAGGAATAGGAGGAAAGAAAGGGAGATTGAGAGGGAGGAAGGAGAGAGGAGGGGGGGTGGGGTGTGGGTAGTGTGTGGTTAGAGGAGGCGGAAGGAGAATAGGATCAAGAAGTGTAAAGTGTTAACATAACTCTACAAATACTCTCCCCTGCCTCTCTCTCCTCCCTTGCCCTCCCTGACACACACCTCATTTTCTCTCTCACTTCTTCCTAGAACATTTCTCCCTCCCCCCCACCACACACACCACCTCCCCCTCCTCCCCCACACACCTCCTCCCCCTCCTCGCCCCCCCTTTCCTGATTTACATCCTCACTACTGCCCAGTGATGTCTGACACCATCCTGACTTCTACCAGTATCACCACCCACCACCATCACCACCACCATAACTCACCACTACCACCATCACCACAACCACCACTGACTCCCCTTCATACCACCACGAGCCCTTAAATTAGCCTGGGTGCCCCCTCTTCCGTCCAGGGCTGCCCTTACTGCTCCCTCAAGGGCTACTCCCCACCCTTAGGTCTTATGAGAGAGGGAGGGAGCGTGGAATGGTGTGGCGTAGTAACAAGGACACTGACCTCTCTCTCTCTCCCTTCTCAACTATGGTCAGGTCAGGTCAGGTCAGGTTAGGTATTGTAATAAAAAACACAATACTATATACGATAACAATATTAGAACCTCTCTCTCTCTCTCTCTCTCTCTCTCTCTCTCTCTCTCTCTCTCTCTCTCTCTCTCTCTCTCTCTCTCTCTCTCTCTCTCTCTCTCTCTCAAGGTAAATGCTGCCAGGTGTCAAAAACTAATTAGCCAAAATAGTAGTGATGATTAGCTATTGTATGGAAAACAAAACACTAAAATAACACTTAATAAAATGACCAACACAGCCTCAGAACACAGCCTCAGAACACAGCCTCAGAACACAGCCTCAGACCACAGCCTCAGACTACAGCCCCAGAACACAGCATTAACTCGTCTTCAAGTACCAATACACAGCTGGGTCGACTAGAGGCGCCCCGGACTCAAACTAACGACCCCTGGGATAGAAGTCGAAGGCTGTATCTATTTAGCCACTTCCACCCTT